TAGAAGACCTGCAGAGTCTAACTGTCCCTAGCTCATAACACACACCACAAACGTCCACACACTCCTCTATCACTTCCTTGCGCTCTCACACTCTCTCCCTCCCTACCTTCCTGCTGGTCACCATTTTTTCGGGTTCCAAACTTTTTATTGATAGCCCAGCTCAGTGGTTCTCAACCTTCCTAATGCCGCGACCCTTTATTACAGTTACTCATGTTGTGGTGACCCCAATTTCATTGTTACAAATTAAACATAATTAAAGCATAGTGATTAATCACAAAAACAATATGTAATTATATATGTGTTTTCCGATGGTCTGAGGCGACTCCTGTGAAAGGGTCGTTTGACCCCCAAAGGGGTTGCGACCCACAGGCTGAGAACCGCTGGCCCAGCCTCTATATTCCCTATTCAAGTCAGACCAACCCTCTCCAATCCAATGGAGCCCTGCAGGGAAACAAGCTGTAGAGGCTCTCAAGGAAGTGCTGTCTAAAGTTCCTGCTCTGGGGCATCCATTATACACTTCCCTTCTTCCTTTTCTCATATGAAAGTCATGGAAATGCTTTAGGAGTTCTGACTCAGAAACATGGAGATCACCACAGACCTATAGGGAGTTATAGGCAGCAACCAGACTCAGTGGCAAATGGATTCCCTCCATCCCCAGCTGTAGGAGGTCAATCTTGCTACAGCCATGTTATGTGAACAGACAGAAGAGAAGGTTATGGGCTCTCCTTTAAGTATTTATGTTCCTCATCTGTTGAATCTCTGCTGAATCTCAGATTGGGCTGTTCAGAAGATTCTTGAGTCCAGGAAGCCCAACCAACGACGTGCCATCAGACTTCACCTGAGATACCTATAGATTTGGGTGAATTCTCAAAGTTCCCCAAATATATCGAGGTTCCTGGGCCTTCTTCACTCACCTGGCATGGCTGTGGGGAACTCTGTAAGCAAGGTACCAGGCTGAATTTTCCAAGGGGTTCTATTGGCTCCAGAAAGTCCTCACCGGGGAGAGGACACTGTCCCTGGGAGGCTCCAAGGCACCCCCTTCCTGTGCGAAGGGGAGGCTCTCCGTCCATGTGGAGAGCACAGCACAGGGTGACAGGCAGGAGGAGAAGTAAACGAGTGAAATCTACCATCTCAGGCCTCCCAGCCATAGGACTAGCTCCCTGGCCTTAGCTTCCTCAGTGATAATGACACCGTCAGGAATGTGTCCCCCTAAAGAGAGTGGCCAAAGTCAGAAAGCCGGGGTCAGAGGAGCAAAGTCTGGCATTGGACCCCAACGTCCTGGAGAATGTGAGAGAGCACGACACTCTGGGATGAGGGGACAGAGATGTAAGAATTAGGAAGCTTTTCCTATCAAAGCTATAGTTTAGATATAAACTCCATTTCTTTTTTTTATAATCCTTTATTTTGTACTCAAATCCACCGAGGGCTCCCTTCCTGGAAAAGACAAAGGCATAGCTCGTCCCCATTTCCTGGCAGACAGTTAAAGTCTAACAGCTAGTTAAAACCACAGACATTCCTGTAGGAGACAAGACATAGTTTTGCACCATTTCCGGGCCGGCATTTGAAACAGCCCCCACTTGTAACTTGTGCTGCCCTTCTGAAGTTAGACATTCCTGATAGATTGTGAAACCATGCCCTCAAGCCAATCAGGGTGGAGTGCAGTAATACGTCAGGGATCAAAGGAGATGGACTGCCCGTTGTTTGTGCTTGCCCACCATATTCTTACCGGGCATTGCACCCTTCTGCAGAAGTAGAGTGCCCTGTCAATCCATTTTCGAGCGTCTTTTTAATCCCCGAGACACTGGTTAAGAGCATTTCTAACAAGAGATGCCCTGGTGACTGTAGGGAGACAGATGCGGTTCATCAGGCCTTGGGTGTAGATGAAACAATGCAATACAATCAGACCTTCTCAGAGGTCTCAGAGGTCTTCCATCTCGGACAATTCAGTTCTCTACCAATATGTTCACGGAAAAAAATGTCTTCCTGGTGAACAAGATTTGGTTCTCAACCTGACAACCCTTTCATGCTGAGACCTCAGCATGACAAAAAGCATCTCTTAGGTCACAATCAAAGGAGAGAATGAGATTCAGTTTTCCCCCAACCCTCCTGTTGTTAACCTCTCAAGAAATCATGCTATGAATATTTTTGTGGGTTTTTTTTTCTTTCCTAGCTGGTGAAATGGATGATTAGGACTATTTTAAAACATAAAAAGGCCATCAAGAGTGCTAATGTTGCTAAGCCTGTGAAAAAAACCATGATGACAGGTCATTGAAGAGGTAGAAACTTTTGCTGATTTGGATCAATGAAAAGCAGTTAGTCAGTGACAGCCTCTCTGAGGCAGTGCTCAGTGAAAAGTGAAGATGCAGCATGCTGACTTCCTGAGAGACACCCGGAAACAAGTGCTGAATGTGATTAGGGGAGGTTAGGTACATTGAAGCAAAGAGGTGTTAGTTCATAGACTAAACAGTACATTAGACATGTACCGTATAAAAGAAAGGTTAAAACAGGGAATCATTTGCAGATCTGGAATGAATTAGTTTAATTTACATTGTTATCTAACAGAAAAATGGATTTGGTTTTTTAATAAATCGCTATTCCAACAGCCTTCCAGAATGATTTTAGTTTGAGAACCGAGCTTCTACTGTATTAGTATTTATACCTGTTAGAAAGAAGGCAAAGACCCAATTCAGAGGTCCTCATAGAACACAAAACATACTCGGGAGCCAGGCAGCAAGACAAACATCTTTACTTCTATGCAGAAGGGTGCACACACATGGTCTGGAAGCCCGTGCACATCAACCAGGGGGTCTACTCAGCTTTATAATCCCCAACGCATGTGATCTGTCCTTTGCTCTTGATTGGAGCTCAGGCGCACACACAGTCTTTCTCGATTGGCTAATTTAAAGGAAGGGGTTTGCTGTTTCAAGAGTGTGGTCCCCAGGGGGGCTGGAGTACGCCTTCCGGGGGGAATAAGGATTCTGTTGAAAAGAGATCAGGAATTCAGTGTGGGATTGCGCCTGCACCCAGGCCCCCATGCACTCTAGAAGGGATGCCCCAATGTGAGGCTTCCGCCCCTGGATTCTCCCATTCGCCTTCCCTCTCCTGTCAGCCTTGGTGCAACTTCCTGCCATCATCCCAGACCCCATCATGGCCACCTGCCCTCAGCCCCTCCACAGGCAGCTCCACTAACTCCAGGGCTCCTGGCCGACTTGTACCAGCAGGAGCGAGAGAAGCAGCAGCTTAAATCTGTGACCAGCAGTGATATCCCTGGGACATGAGGATGCAGGGCCTCAGGTCCAGATGCTGGGGCCACCGCACTCCCTCTCAGTAACAGAGGACCAGCTTTCCAGCTGGTCCCAAGGGTCCTGCCTCTCAGTCGTCTTGGGTAAAGCCAGCCTGATCCAGAATCGCTGCTGTCTCAAAGGGACTTTGACTTGCATGTCTCCTGAGTGGAGGTCCCAACCCCAGATATCCCCATCCTCCTTTCTAAACTGCTTTCATTCCTCCTCTGGGACTAGAGCTCCTGGATTCTTCCATTCGCCTGCCCTCTCCTGTCAGCCTAGGTGCAACTTCCTGCCATCGTCCCAGACCCCATCATGGCCACCTGCCCTCTGCCCCTCCACAGGCAGCTCCACTAACTACAGTCAGGCTCCCAGCTGACTTGTACCAGCAGGAGGGAGCGGGGTTGTGCGCTGACTGGAGCTTGCAGACTTACAGGGCAAATGTGTCCAAGGATGACCTTTTGCATCTGTAAGAAAGAAATGGTTAGAAACCTGCTCTCACCAGCATGAAGATTGGTGAGGCATTTCTCACCAGAGGGCACCACTTAACACACACCCTCCCAGCAGCTGCCAGTGGGGGACCCTCTCAGTAGCCCAGACCAGACTCTGAAAATTGCAGGGTAGAGGTGTTTCTCCTCTTAAGGGGGTGAGGTAGGGGCAACATTTCCTTCTGGAGAGGAATGTGGTTTCATTTGTGGCCTTTGGCCTGTCTTCCTTCTCAGGGGAATTCCTCTAGCATAGTTTCACTTTGCAGGAGGAAGTAATTGCAGGCTTTACTGTCCACAGAATGGGAGGGGCTCTGGCAATTCAGCTTGTTTCCCAATTCATCAGCCCAGCCAACCACCCCTACTCCCCCAAACCCTCCACCCCCCACAACCACGACCGTCAGGAGGGTGGCCCAGGGTTCTGGCCTCAGCTGTGCCAGTCGCCCTGTGGCAGAGGCCTAATGCCTGGCCCTGCCCCCTCCTTTTAACCCACAGGAAGAACCAGAATGAAGAGTTTCCAAAGAGAGAGCGAGAGACTTACAATGGGAGATGCGGTGGCCTGCCAGTAACTTGGAGGCTGAAGGGGACGAAAAATAAAAATGCTGGTTAATATTGGTGCCACCAGTAACTTGGCTGAAGGGGACGAAAAATAAAAATGCTGGTTAATATTGGTGCCACTTGACGGGGAGATCACAGCCAAAATGGTGGTAAGAAATGCCTCCCAGACTCACTCTCACTTCCTTCCTGCTCCCAAGCAAGCCTCCCTGAGCCCGTGGTGCCCAGATGCTCACCCACCATCCCAGGTAACTATGGTTAAGAACAGGGAGGGGGCGGGTGGAGGAGAGGGGACATCCCGCCGGCTCCTCTAGAGAGCGAGAAGGATGAGTCTGACATAGAACATACAGCTCACCTCAGCTCCCAGAGGCAAAGCCATTACTTGCCGTGTCCGATTTCACCAGGGCGGTGAAAACTAGTATTTAGTGAGGCCTACTGTGTGCCAAGCTCTGGCTTCAGTGCTTTATGAGGGAGGCATCCTTAGCTTCAGTTTTGCTCAGTGAGAGAACGGGCTCAGAGAGGTTAAGCACCTTGCCCAAGCCTGTCCAGGTAGGAAGCGATCAAATACAAAATGGTACCCATTGTGTCTGGTTGTGTCAGCATACCCCGTCCTCCCAAGGCCAGGGCCAAAGTCAGGCTGCCCTGCAAAGGCTCCCTGGAGCTCCTCCATCCTAAAGTCAGTGTGGCAGGGGGCAGGGGCCCACCATGCACCGTGATGGGCCACAGGAAGCTGGGTAGGGAGACACCCTTGCCCTTGCCCCCACTGCTCAGGTGGCCAAGGAAGGGCCAGGCCCAGCTCCTTTTCCTGCCCGAGGCCCCTCCCCAAACAGCAGACTGGTCTTCTTGCACTGACTGGTCTCCGCTTCTACTGACTGTGCAAACCACATCCCTCATTCATTGACCCAGTCCCTACTGCACTCCAGGCTCTGTGCAAAGTGCTGGGGATACACAAAGGGACAAGTCAGAATTCCAAGATCATGGGTTTGGGCAAGGACAGGTGGAGTGATGGAGACAGACATGTAAATACAGTTACAATAGGAAATGGTGCCTGGTGTGCATAGAGTTGTGAAATGTCCATTTTGACAGGGAGGGGGTGGAACATTCAGCATCCTGTCAGCAGGGAGCCACATTGAAGCAGAGCATTGAAGGGCTGGGGTGAGGTGGCAAAGTGTCCTTTCAGCCCCAGGACAGCAGATGCAAAAGCGTGGTGGCCTGAAGGAGCCTGGAGTGAGCAGTGGAGGCTGATGGAGGGTCTTCATGGGTGAGGTGGGAGGCGGGCAGGTGGGCTGAGCAAGACTAGAAAGGATTCTGCATATCCAGCTCAGGAGTTAGAGCTTTTTTTGAGCCTGGAGCCTTGAAGAGATTTAAGCATGAGGAGGATGAGATAAGATTTGCATATATGACTGTTACTGTGGTAGTGGGGGGGGGGGG